TGGGACGGACTCCCCCTCGGCCTCCTCTTCTCCGCAGCCAAGAACATCTTCAGGGATGGGTTTTCACAGAGCTCTTCCCGGCCGGGAGGCCCCGGGGCTTCTCGCGGCCAAGGGGCTCCTGGGCCTGCGCGGGGCGGCCGGCTCCCTCCCCGGCCTTCTCCAGGAGCTTGTGGATGGTGGCCGCCACCAGGCCCCTGCTGGGGCCCTGCCGGTCCTTGCAGATCAGCCTCCCCACCTCCCGGGTCCTCTTGAGAGGCCCTCGGCCGGTGCCCATGAACTTGGCCTGGAGGAGCTGGAAGCGTGTGGGCCGCCGCTGGGCACCCTGGGGCTCGGGGGCACAGCACCACCCGCCTGCCGCGGGCTCTGCCCTCTTGGCGGGAGGAGGCCCCTGGGGCCCGTCCTCGAGGTCAGTGACGTAGAGCAGCAGGCTGCTGAGGATGGCGTGGGCTGCCAGGTCGCAGGTCACCCTGCTGACCTTCTTCTTGAGGGCTTGGACATCAATGGGCCTCTTGTTGCTGCAAATCCTGCTGCTCTTGGGGCTGCAGGGAAAAGAACCGTCAGTTTTACCATCGTGTTTTCCAAGGTGGCTCCACAGAACGCCCTTACAGAGCTACCCTTTCTGACCCCAAGAGGTCCAGGAACAGAAAGGGACTTGGATCTGGGTGCACCTCTGCTGCTGCCTGAGAGGCAGGGGTGCGGGGCGCTGCTTCCTTTTCAGTTCGCTGGCTGTGCTTTCTGGCTCGCGCCCTCTGCAGGGCTTTGGAGAGCTGATGTGAGATGGTTTTGCGAGAGCCCTTTGGAAAGTTACCTGCGTGCGTACGGTATTTATGTCTTTAAATAACGGGCACATTTCGCTTGCACAAATTGGGGAGGAAGAAGCATAAGGCATTTCCGTCCTCTGGGTCTGTGCACACCTCTAACCGTAACGTGTTACGTCCTGACTCGGCCCTGGCTCATCCCAAGGGCGTGCAGTCCCCAGAGCTGAGCCTCCCAGAGCAGCAGTGAGACCCTCGGGCCCTGGGAGGAGGGGAACTCAGCTTTCGGGGGGCCACGGGGGTGGGACCGATGTGCGGGGCCCCCAGAACAGGAGGGAATGGAGCTGGGGGCACTGGCCAGGCTCTGCCTTCCTGGCCCCCCCCTTGGAGACACATGCTCCTGGGGAACCCTCGAGGCTGAGAGGCCTGAGCCCCCGCTCTCCTGGCCCTGCCCCCGTGAGCCCTGCACCGCAGCCCAGCCTCCGACAGGCTGTGACCTCGCAGGGAAGGGAAGTCTCTGGGAGGTGCGGGCTCTGGGCCCGGGTCCAGGCCGAGGGGCTCTCCCCAGAGGGCGCGTCTGCCCAGCACAAGGACGAAGCTGGACAGACAAAGCCACCTCTCCAGACAGTAGTTTGGCAAAGATGTGCCCAGAACCCCAGCCCAGCCCTCCTCCCTGCTAGCCGTTCGTTCCAAGGGGGGGGATCAGGGTGCAGAGCCGAGACTGCAGGGACCGCTCCCAGTGCCACGTGTGACACCGACAACTGCAGACGCCCTAGAAGGCTGACACCGGGTGGGGCTCAAATACGGCCACATCCGCATTGGAGGACAAACCGCTGTGAGAAGGCGCTCCGCACGCTGCCGGAAACACAGGCCAAGAACAAACAGGAAGAAAGTATGTGAACATATGTTTCTTTCTGTAACTTTATGCGTTTTTGCAGAAAAGAGAGTTCCATTTTTAGAAGCTGCACACAAACTTAACTTTTAGGAAGCTGCTGGGAGCCCTCATGCGCTGGACTGACTGCGACTGCGCCCCCTGCTGGCCTACCACCCGACGGGAGAGCCCCTGGGTGGGCCGGGTGTCTGTCCATCCACTGCCCGGCAGTGGATCTGGACAGAGAATCACTCCTTTCAAGGAGTGAGGGGGCACGGATGTAACTGTGGACTCCTGACTCCCTGGGCTCCCCAGAACCCGGAATTCACCGGACACCGTGAACCCACGTGGACGCGGCTGCTCAGCCGCCCTCAGACGCTGAGGACGTCGGAACACCAGAAGGACTCGGAAGCGCGCACAGCGGGGTGGCACCCCCAGAAGCCCCAGCTCAGATCCCCTGAAGCTGCCGGCGAAGGGACCCACTTTGAGAACCACTGGGATGGAGTGGACTATTTCCAACCGCAGACCACCGTGCACCTGAGACCCAGACCTCTAAGCCATGAGGTGGGTGTGGGTCAGCCTGGCCACAGGATGGGAATGTGCCCTGGGCCCCCCAGGCGGCACTTGGGCAGTGAGGGTCGGGGAGACGGAGCCACAGGCTCCCACGGTGTCGTGCTCTATTTGGGAAGGTCAGCAGTCCAAGATGGCGCCCACCTGTGACACCTGCATCAAACCAGCCCCTCCCTGACACCGCCCCCGTGGTCTCTGTGGGCGTCTGCTCCGTGGTCTGTGTGAGTGCCCACTCTCCCTCATGATGAGGTCACTCGCCAAGGGTTGCATGGGGTCACCAGAGACCACCTTTTGGCAGGTTACAGATGCCCACGGTGGATTAGTGGTCCAGGTGCTTCATCCAGAGCCCTGGACTTGTCCCTGCCTATCTTCCAAAGGGAGACATGGCCTAGGACCCCCGAGGGGATGGTGAGGAGGTGAGGTCAGTCCTGTGGCCGAGTGCTGGGGCATTTACTTCTACCCTGATTGTTACGTGGGGGTCCCCAGCCAAGTAGGGGGTCACAGCCGCAGAAGGGGATGAATTCCAGCCCAGAGCCTGCTGTCCTCATGCACACAGGAGCCTCTGGGGCTCCATGTGGGGTCCCCCTGCCCTATTCTCCAGGCCCAGAGCTCAGCCTACCTGGCCTCCTACTCTGCTCCAGCCACACTACACTCGGCCAGTTTTGAGCTCATTCCTACCCCAGGGCCTTTGCGTGAGCCACTCCTGCTACTTAGGGCAGATTGTGAGTGGGGCTTCTCATGTCCCCTCCTGAGCACATGGCCCAGGGCGCCCCTAGCGCATCACGGGAGAACCCTTGCTACACACCCTCGTCTGAAATTCGAGTGCAGCTCTAAGTTCAGACATGTCGAGTGTGGTTCCACGTGTCTCCTGTCCCAGCTTGAGGCCTCCACGGGGGGACATGGTCTCTCCTTTCCCCAGGGGAACGCCCACTCCCTGCTGCACAGAGTCCTTCTGCCGGGGCCTCCTGCCAGGTTCTGCCCAGCTCTCCTCCACTCGCCTTAAGCTCTGGGCTCCTGAAGTTATGTCTCCTGGCAGTGCTGGGTGCTTTCCCAGCTCCATGCTTCGTCCACACTGAGCCTCCGGCCTGGCACAGCTGCACCCCCTGACGAGCTCCTATTCATCCTTCACGACCCAGTTCTGATGCCCCTGCTTTCCCAGGTGTGCAGTGGCACCATCTGCATTGGTCCTGCTAGGCCTCTCAGCGTCCCCCACAGTGTGACACTCCCGGCCACTGCACCCCAAAGTCACTAAGTCAGAGTGGCCGTGGGGGGAGCAAGTGCCCGTGGGGGCGAGTGCCCCATGGGGGCATGGTCCTCTGCCCGGCCTGTCCCTCCAGACCCAAAGGCCAGCCCAGCCCAGCACACTCTTCCTCCACCTCCCAGCATAGGACACGCAGGCAAGGTTACGGTTCCCGCCCATCAAAGTCAATGGGGGTCTAGGGTCAGCCAGCGCGCCTCCGCCCTGCCAGTGCTTCCTAGGGGACGGTGGGGCCTGTGGCTTCATGTCCCACCCCTGGTGGAGTGGACGTGACCAAGCCCGTCCCAGGACAGGGCTGGAACATGTTTCTCTCAGGGCCAGTATCAACAACAGGGCTGCAGTAAATGTTCCTGACTCAGTCCTGTCAGTAACTCTGCCCTGAGAGGTCACTTGAAAACACAGGGACACCAGAGTCACCACTGTGACACACCGTGTCCCACCTTGGCCGCCAGCCAGACCCTCTGTGGTGTGCGGGTGTGGGAAGGACCGGACCCTGCATCCCAGCCGAGGGAAAGGGCAAGGAGTGTCCAGTGCCGCCAGGGGGGCCGCCCCTCCTTGGGGCCTGGCTGACCTCTGCCACCTGCCAGCAGGGCCCCTGCCCCCGCGAGACCCTGCTCATGCATCCTGGGGAGGAGGGGGAGGAGGAGGGGGGAGGGGGGAGGCCGCCGCCCCCCGGCCACCACCCCGGGCGCTGAAGCAGTTCCTGGGCGGGGATGCTGTGTTCTAGGGAGCTGGCGGCTGGTCTGGGGCGCGTCTGGCCCCTGACTCGCCGCTGACCCGCCCTCGCCCATTTCCACATTCCCACCCTCTCAGGGCGAGCCAGGGGCACACGGCGGCCCTCCTGCCACCCTGGCAGGGGTCTTCTCTGTGGCGCTAAGACCCCTCCCCAGCTCTTGGCCAGCAGCCCCCCAGGCCGGTCCCCTGCCACCCCAGGTGTGTGCTCTGCCGGGGACCCGGCAGCAGCGGAACTGCATCATCTGACGTGCTAATGCTCTCCGCCCCACAACTATACCCAGGGGACAGAGACAGGGCCGGACTCTGCCCCCACCCCCGGCCTGGCGCACAGACGGGCCTCACTCAGGGTGTGGATGGAGATGCACCTGCACACTGTGCTGTTACCACAGCTGCTCCTGACCCTGCGTCCCCACGTCCCTGCAGAGCCATGGAGGCCAGCTTATCCTGCCCTCCTCCAGCCCCTGGTGGGGCTGCATGCAGCCGATGCTTAATAAATGCCTCGCCTCCATGTGACTGTAGAGGCACCGTGGGCTCAGGAGAGGTGGGGAGAGAGGAGTGGGCTGCCCCCGGTCTCTGCAGGGACAGCCAGAGGCCGCGTGGCCGTTGTAACAGCGACTGCAAATCGCAGCCCCAGCCCCGGTGGGCAGCGCCTGTCTCTCTAGTGAAAGAAATGTCTGGCTGTTTTGCGCTTTACTCAGTGACGAGGTGGCTAACAGCGGACACTGTGCCAGCGACAGCCTGACAACCTGGACCCTGTGCTTCCTGGAAGTGAGTCTGGAAAAGGAGGGTGGGTGTCCTCTGGGCTGGAGACCCCGTGGCCTTGCACCTACACCTCACATCCTGGCCCTGGCCGTGGGGGGACAGAGGGCTGTTGGTCCAGCGGGGGCCCCAGGCCCTGAGCGTGGGCGGCTGTTCCAGGACCTGAGATTCGGGGACTGAGCAGTGTGTTCTGGGGACGCCCTCTCGAACCTGATGATGACTACTGCTGTGTGTGTGTGCGTATGAGTGTGTGTTTGCATGTGTCTGTGTGTTTGCATGCACGTGTCTGCGTGTGTCTGCGTCTCTGCGCACACGTGTCTGTGTGTGTCCATGTCTGTGTGTGCACACGTGTGTCTGTGTGTCTGTGTCTATGTGTGTCTCTGTGTATGTCTCTGTGTCTGCGTCTCTGTGTGGGTGCACGTCTGTGTGTGTGTCTGTGTCCGTGTGTGCGCACGTGCAGTGAGGGACAGGCGGGGAGAGCGGCGCAGCAGGTGGGGCTCACCATCAGTACATCAGCAGTTGGTGAACCTGGCTGAGGGGACCACAGATACTTTGTTATTACTAAGACTTGTGTGTGTTGGAAGCACTTGAGGACAGTTAGGACAGGTCAGGAAGGAAGCAAAGCAAGGTGATGAGTGCCTTCTGACCCTAGAAACACAGACGGCCCAGCCCGGCAGGGACACTGGGCCCCTGGCTTACCCGGGCTGCCGATGCCCCCTGTGGCTGCAGCTCTTAGAGGGCCCTGTGGCTGGGTTCCAGCCAGGCCAGCGAGCGGCTCCCATCTGCATCGTGGGGGTGGGGGTCGAGGTGGAGGTGCCCTTGGGCGCCGTCTTGCCTGCAGCTCGGCAGCCTGAGAGCCTGAGAGCCGGCTGCTGCCGCTGCCCCCGCCCTGCCCCATCGGTCCTCCTGCCCCACCTTGGGGTGAATTTCACGATGGAGTTTTAAACCCACATGTTTGGCAGAGCGTCAGCTCGGGTATTTTGTGTTCCATCAGTTGGCGTCGGGTCGATTCTCCCAGTCCTGTCTGCCCTGGGGGCGGGGTTCCCCTGTGGGGCTGGGGGCTGTGGTGAAGCCTCGAGGAGTCAAGGAGGCCGGAGGGCAGTTACGGAGCAGGAGCTGGCTGGTCAGACTGGTCTCTCCACCCAGCCTGGGGCTCAGGCTCCTCTGTGGCACAGGGCCTTCCCCTCCCTGAGCCTCCTACTGACGGTGCTCGGGTTTGGGGAGATGCGCCTGGAGGTGGCGGTCACCATGGTCATGTCAGAGAGCCGGCCGCTGGAACCTCCGAGGGGGCCCTCCTGCTGTTGCCCCGTGACTAGCCCTGCCTGAGGGAAGTGACAGCTGTGTCTGCACTGCTCCCAGACGTGAAAACACCAGGGAACATGACTGGAATACTAAATGCAAAACCTTCCAGCCAAAGAGCGTGGGGACAGGAATTAACTGAAATCAGCCTGAAGCCTCAAAACGCCTGAGGGGGGCAAGGCACCTGCCCCCACATCGGAGCCACAGGCAGGAGCTGGGGGCCTGCCCCTGGGACACAATGCAAGCCCTTCCAGCGGGCACCACGTTCCAGCCGCAGGCAGGGCTGCCCCCCAGCCCCAGACCTCACGCCCACGTCCTGTGCCAGCAACGGGACCACTGACACAGGCTGTGGCTACAGACGCAGGCGGGAACGGCGCGCGGGTCACACCCCAGGACCCACACCTGCCCTGAGTCACCGTCGCCTGTCCACCGGGAGCCGGAGGCAAAACCGCCCCTGCAGCTGCGGGGAAAACCCGCCGTGCCGTTGGTGGAGATGAACTTCTCAGAGGCACAGGAATGGACATTTGGAGTCAGCGCGAGGAGGAGCGTCTGAAGACGCCACTTCAGGACAGGAAGCTACCTGGCAGTGCGCCAGAGGGTCCGAGCACACGTGGTGGCACGGCACACGTGGGGGAGCTCCAAGCAAGAGCGCAAAAGGCCAAGGGGGGCGCGCGTGATGACGCAGGAAGAACTAAAGAGTGGCCAAGTGAAAGACGCCCAAAGTAAGTACTGCGTAACATGTAGCTCCCATCTGCGGAGAAAGGCAGCGTGAGCCTGTGTCTGTGTGTGTGAACGGACGTGTGTGCGTGTACGCGAGTGTGTTTGTGTCAGTGCGTGTACGTGTGTGAATGTGTGTGTGTGCACGTGTGTGTGTGTGTGAATGTGTGTAACACACAAATCCAAGCGTGTGGAGAGCTTTCTGGAAGGACACAGAAGGACCCATGCTTCTCTGGTCCCTGGTGCTGAGTCTGGGTGACGGTGCGGAGGAACCGTGCTTCCCACACGCCCCACTTGTGGGGCTGAGCTCTGGAAGCTGTGTGCAGGTCTTCCTTTTCCAATAAAGATGGAGCCACTAAGTATTACAGTTTTAAACATCTGAGCAGGTGTGGAATTCTCCTCATTGCTTCTAGTGGGTTTGCTTTCCTTTTCAACATCTGCGTCCCTCTGTAACAGCAGGAAGACACGGGGAAGGAGTCTGACTCTGATCTATGATGCCTATGAATGTGTCTAACTTACGGTCGGCCTGTAGACAGACTCACTCCCTGGTTCTCAGGGACGGGCTTGATTCTCCTCGGTCGTCAATCAGAGGGATCAAGGGCCCTCTGACCCAGCCGCACCCCGTTCCTCTCGGCGGTTCCCTTCCGCATGGCAGAGTTGAAAGGGCCGCTTTGGGGGGAAGCTGGGGAAACGGGACATCACTTCCAAACAGGAAGCCCACCGCGTCGAGTGCGCCTGGGAAAGGGGTCCACTCACCTTAACCGGGTCTGGTCCTGGAAGACAACTCGCAGTGACTCCCCCACACCCACTAGCACTGTGTGGACCCTGCCTGGTGGAGGGGCCTGTGCCTCTGCCTCTTTGGACCGGAAACTATCACCAGCAGCGAGGTTAGTTCAGTTATGCAGGATCGTGCGTGGAAACCACCGTGTCACCCTCTGCGTGTACGTGAAGGCCCACGGGTTCTCCCCGGCACGGAGGGGAGCCTGCGCTTCCCTCAGAAAAGAAAAGTGATGGGTTCGCTGGAAGCATGCCTGCCCTATGCCCACAGCCCGGGGCATGGGGGGGGGGGAGTGGGGGTGCCGGGGGAGGGCCTCAGGGCTGTGTCCGAGTGGCCAGCAGGGATGGCCTGGCTGTGCTCCGAGGCAGGCCTCCAACACACAGAGCCTGCAGTCACAGGACCGGCTGGCCAAGCTGCCAAGCGCGTGTTACTTGTCAATCACCCTCCACCATTTCACTCACACCAGACGCTACTTCAAGAAGACTGGGTCCAAGGTTATTTTTAGCAAGAGCAAGTGTCCTCTCTCAAGGCTGTCGGCTTAGAAGCCCAGGCCACAGGGGACAGGAACCAGCCCTGCTCCTTGTCAGGGCCTGGGGGCGGGGCAGCAGACCCTGTGTTTCCTACTTCGTCAGTTAGTTGTTCCATCAGCCCCTAGTGCGACTGAAGCCGGGGCCGGCGGGTCAAGCGCAGCGCTTGGGCTCCGGTACCTACTGCTCCTCCCTCTGCTGTGCAGACACTGCGGTGCGCGTGGCCGAGGCCCGCCAGGCCGCGGAGCCTGAGATTGGCAGCTGTCCAAATGCGCATCTGAGAGCTCAAACCAGGCAGCGGCGGGGTCCTGCAGACGGAGGCGGCCCGCTGGAGCAGGGCCGTGGTGGTTAGTGCCGTCCAGTGAGTGAGCAGAGAGCGTTAGTTTTGCGACAGAATAAAATACACCGATTGTCCGAGAGACTCTCCGTGACACTGTATTTGGAGGCTTGAGGGAGTCAGATCCAGTGAGGCAGCGGTAAGGCCCTGGGCTTGGGCCAGGAAGAAGACTCCCGTAGGACAAGCGATGTATTTTATGCAGCAGTTAGAGTCCTGAAGTCGGGGGAGTTAGAGTGTCGCGGGAGCTGCGTGTGGCGGAGGGGCCTGGGAGGGAAGCGGCTTTACTTCTCCTGGGTGGACAGGCGGTACAGGGCCTCGCCCAGGCGCCCCAGCTCCTCCTTGTGCTCCAGCTCCCGGTACAGGCCTCCGGGGACGCCGTCCAGGCCGTGCAGCAACCCGAACAGGCAGCCTGCGATGGCCCCCGTGGCCCCGCTCTCACCTGGAACGGAGGGAAGCACAGGTCTGCAGGGCCCTGGGCAGAGCGGCAGCCCCTCCATGACCTGCACTGGCCCCCAGGGCCTCCAGCCACCCCCCAGCCAGGCCCGCCCGGAGGCTCCTCTGGGCAGACCCCCGCGCAGGCAGCCTGGGGCTGTCTCAGGTTCGCTCTGGGCAGCACCTGATGCGGGGCAGACGTCCCCTCTCCCCTCCGGAACAGCTGGACGCCCTGGCTGTCAGGGGGCCACACCCCGCGAGCTCCTGGCCCCGTGGGCTGCCCTCCTGCCCTCAGCCGGGTTTGGGGCCGCCCCCTCCTCCGCATGCCAGCCAGCTGCTCAGGGCCCTGCTGTCCTCCCCGCTGCTCCCCGTCTCCCGGGAACTGGAGGTCCCCGCAGTGTGGGTGGGGATTGTGCATGCAGGAGGGGCCTGGCGGGTGTCCTTTTATTGCACACTGGCCGAGAAATGGCCACTGGCGGAGAAGCAAACCCACCGGCGAGGGACTGGCACTGCTGCCGGGAGGCGAGGAGTCCAGCTCCTCACACCCTGAGCCGTCAGCACAGCCAGACGGGCGGACTGTGTGCTCCTGGGACGGGCTGACTGCGGACTGCGTGCTCCTGAGGGGGAGGCGGCTGGCTGTGTGGGAAGGACCGTCTCACCTCCGTGGAACATGGCCCGGTGGCAGAGCTCCGTCCAGTTGCCCCTGGCTCCTAGGAGAGCGTCGTAGGCGATCATGGGGGCATCGTGGCCCCGCCGTCCCCCGCGACCTTCCGAGCTCCACTTCCTGTAGGTCTGGAGAAAGAGCCACCATCAGGGGAGGGGACACTGCGTCAGACACATCACAGCAGGAGCTCCTGGTTCATCTAGGGGACCATTGTTCACTCGCTCACCGAGCACTTATGTGATGCCACCTTGTGCAGGCGTGCCCCAGGCTGCGGAGGGACAGTGAGCAGGAGACAGTCTCCCACGGCCCTCATGCCCCCAGCCCCCCCAGATAAATGAACGTGCTAGCTGCAGGCAGTGAAGTCTGCGAGCAAAGGGTCTGAAGTGCAGTGAGGGGCTGTTGCGACCTGCGGCCTGGGTGGGGCGAAGGGACAAGCGAGGTCGAGCAGGCACTGTGTGTGGTCAGGGCCGCAGACTGGCTGGAGATTGTGGGCAATGATGGCTCAAGCAGCTGGTGGCACAGAGCAAGTCCCTCTGTGAGAGACTGAGGAGAGCAGGGAGGTGGACGTGGGCAGATCACTCCCCTGTGCCTTAGCAACAGAGTCAGCGTCGGTTTGGGACAACAGCGTCTCCACTGGAAGAAGTGTTTCTGCGTCTTCCTGCACCCAGGGAGGGCCGTAAGACACGAATGAAAGGGCAGTAGGAAGCACCTGAAGAGGGAAGGGTGGGCCCTTCCTTTCTCCCTACTCCTTCCTGACACCTGGAATGCAGATGTGCTGGCTGGAGCTGGGGTGGCTAGTTTGGGCTATGAGGCATGCTCTGAGAACAGCAGAGCAGCTAGACAGAAGGATCTTCAGCTCCTTCTTGCAAGGGAATTCTGACTCAATTCTGGACTCCCTCAATGTAAGGACGGAAAACTTCTGTCTTGGCTAAGCCACAGTTACTTAGGGTTTTCTCTTGTGCTACCAAATGTGACCCCAGTGATTTCAGCCACTTAGGGGATTTTCTCAGCATGGGGAATGCAGGTGGTTTGCACAAACCTATTTATCCTATGCGACCGTACGTCCCAGCCCCCAGCCCCTAGGAGAGATGAAGTGAAACGGAATATTTTTAAAAATCACATTTTCAATTTTTCTAGCACAAATCGTGCTTATAACCAGAGAAAATGAAAAGGTAAAAGCAGTGTCCATTTCAAACAGGCTCCCTCCACGAAGTCGTCCATGGTATGGGTGGCTCCTGGGCATGGGGCCCGGACCTGGCAGGCCTACCTTGTCTCGCTCCTCTGCATCGTAGTGGTCGGGAAAGCTGGCCTCAGTCTCCGAGTCCTCACTGATTTTTCTCTCCTCCAAGTAAAACTGCCATTTGGCTTCGAAGTAAAACCACTGCTCTTGGTACTCTAAACACAAAGAGCAGGTGGGCAGGCGGTAGTCGCCGTCCTGCTGGGCACGCGGCTGTGGGGGCAGTGAGCGGGAGGGGACAGAGGCCAGGCTGTATGCCTCCAGCCGGGCGGAGGGGAACCTGGCACCTTGCCTTAACAATTGCTCTGGAAATTTAAAAACACACTCGTAGCCACTTTGAGACACAAGCAAGGAAGGTGGAGATGGAAAAGCGACTCAGATGTTCTACACTGAGGCAGAGTCTGCAGCACCTTTAAGTGCGTTCCCTTGGAAATTCTAAACCTGTGCATTTTTGTTAATGCAACACTGTGCCTGCCGAGTCAGGACAGAGGATGTCAGCCCTAATTAACAGGTTGACGTCCATGCCCCAGAGGCACTGAAGCCACTTCCTGAAGTCACGTGTGTGCGACGCTGTCCCAGGAAGTCTGGGGCAGCAGCTGTGCTGGCTCGTGGGTGACGGGGACCGGGGATGGGGACTGGGGACAGCGCCCGTGGTCGAGAACCGGAGGCAGGGGATGCTCTGGGCCTAGCGCCTCGCCATCCTTACCTCGGTGGCTGGGCTGGCACACGGTCCCGTCCTCCCGTCCAGCTCGAGGCCCAGCCGAGTGCGAGCTGAGTAGGGAGGCTGGGGAGCCAGTCCACGAGGCAGACTGAGGTGGGAAGAGCATCAGGCCGGGGGGGCCTGAGAGTGGGGAGCGCCCGCCCCCGCCGTCCAGCCTCAGGGATGCCAGGCGGTCTCCACAGAGACCTGGGGTCACGGCTGGGGGTCCCCGAGCACGCCAGCCCCCTGCCCCCAGCCAGGTGATACCCCAGACCTTCTTCGTGGGTCAGCCTGTCACACGGGCCCCATGGGGCTGCTCTGGCTTCACTGCGGGTGAACAGCCCTGCCCTCTCTGGGGGCCGGTCTTCAGATCAGGCTCTGGGTGAGTGGAGACCTGCCCGTTTCCCGGGCGCCAGGGAGCGGGTGCGGGAGGGAGGCCGGGCTCACCTGCCAGGTGCCGGATGGTCTTTTTGCAATACTCCTCGGCCAGTGGGACTGTCTTCAGCATGTCTCGCCCCCACTGCTCCAGCCGCTTTCCCTGGACAGCGTAGGACGCGAACAGGGCGGTACACAGGGACCCGAGGAAGCCTGGGGGCACAGGGGGCCGTCAGGGGGCATGCTGGCCCCTGCGTCCCTGACCAGGACCCACCTTGAAGATTTGACCTCCCATTTCCACCTGCCCCAGGGTCACGGCCGTCCTTCAGGGGGAACACCTGCTTCCTGTGTGAGCAGAGCGGCTATGGGAGGGATGCGGCCAGCCCGAGGGAGCGCTTCCTCTGCCCAGACGTCAGCTCCAGGGATGAGCATCCAGTTCTCACACCCAGGGCTCGGCTCGCTCTGACCACCCGCCAGCGCCCCTCCCGTCACGGGGCATTTCCGCCGCACTGTGGGGAATAGACATCGCAGCTCTTGCTGCCAAAGGCAGCTCAGATTGACAAGGAGAGTGCAGTTGTCAACTGTGCACAGTCGAACCCTCGTCATCACCCTAAAAATATGCAAACGACTTGACTCCCATGCAGGAAGTGACACGTCCTTAATACGAGTGGGTGATACATCAGCCCACGTCTTAGACGATTAAATTTTCAAACCAGATTCCCATACTCACCAAATTGTTTCCAAATGCTCAGCCCCTTCCTGTTTGAAGGCTATTCACGCTGACTTTACTTCGGCTGAACCGTGAGTGAGCAGGCGTCCAGGGTCCACCGGCCCCAACTGTCCCCAGTGTCGCCTCCCCCCACCGCCAGCTACACTGTATGCCTTCTGCTCAAACCTTAGGGATCTAACGAACTCATCTGTGGAGGCTGTGGCTCAGCTGTCACCCCTGCCGTGGACTCAAAGGCATATTTTGTCACGTTCACGCCTTGGGTGCCACGTTGCCCACAGAGGGGCGCATCCGGGGGCACAGGGTGGGCCTTGCAGTTTGGCGGCTGACACAGGTAAACCTGGGCACCATAGGTGACATTGGATGGGGCAGCTGGCAGCCCCAACCTCGAGGGGGCTGGGGAGGGTGTGACACACCTCGCCGGGACAACGGCGGGTCACGAGGAGGCTGGCTGCCTTCCTGGTCACGTCTCACAGGCGGCGCTGCCGCCCTCGGACCACGGGCCCGGGGAACCCAGAGCGCAGGTCCCCTGAGGTTCCCTTTTCCCTCCTCACTAGCAGCCGGCAGGCCCTGCCACAGGTGAGGAGATGCAGGCTTGGGCAGTGGGGGGACTTGGTCCAGCTCCCTTAGCCCGTGTCTGTCTGGCCTAGAGCCCAGCTGGGGCGCAGCGCAGGGCCACGTGGAGTGTGATCGCCCAGCTGGCTCCAGGGGGACGACCGCACAGAACCGCTGGTTCCCGTGACTCCTGCATGGATCCCAGTTTCCTCCAGAACCCAGGGCTGCTCTTTTGTCTTTATTGTGACATGAGCCACGTGAAACCAAGGAGAACACTTTCCTGTCCACGGCCACCGGCTCGTTGCCAGCCCTGCTCTCAGGTTGAAAGCAGAACTGAAGCCAAATCTGCCCACCAAGAAGCAAAGCAAACAACGGGTTTGGCCACGTGGGCGCCGCCCGCCCGCCAGGTGCTACCTGTGGGGTGGTTGTGGGTCATCCGGCCACACTCGATGCTGACCTCCACGAGGGTCTCCAGCCGCTCCGGCTTCCAGTACCGCATGCCCACGCACATGGCCTTGGTGGCGGCTCCGAACCCCGAGCCTACGTGGAGCACGGAAAACCTGAAGTTAGAGCAATCTAGCGCTCACGAGTGATCGAACATGAACAAAGATTCATGTAGTAACACACTGATCGTAGCGCCATTCAAATGAGTCAAAAATAGGGAAACTGAGTAAATTCCTGATAAAGAAAAGAGATGAAAGAAATCGCAAAGCAAGCATGTGCTGGAATGCCACAGCGCCTTTAAAACCAGAATTTAAGGAACATTTTTTATTGAAGTGCAGTCGACTTACAGGGTTAGTTTCAAGTGTGCAGCAGAGTGACTCAGGTGTACGTGTGCACACGTGCGTATTTTCTCCTTTCAGATTCTTTTCCATTGTATGTAAAATGGAATTTTCATGGTGTGTGGACATGCTCGAAAGGTGCTTGTGCTGCGAAAATTTAGGAGACAGAACTGTGCACACAGCGTCTTTTAATCACACATTTTTTCTCTTTAAAAACAGCTTCACTGAGTTACAGCTGATGTACGATCAGCTGCATGTATTTAAAGACTGCAAAGTCAGTCCTGACATGGTGGCCCGTGGGACCAGCCCCTAAGCAAAGACACTGAATGTGTCCGTCCCCCAGAGTTCCTTGGGCCCCCCACGCGGCCCCGGGGCTGGGAGTGCAGCTCAGTCTGCAGGTCCCAGGTCTGTGTGAGGACAGGCCCCGGAGCACAGACTCTTTGCCGGGCTGCTTTCGCTCCGCGTGCCTCTCTTGAGACCCACCCAGGTCGCTGTCCAGCAGGTGGGCTGCACCGTGGGGACGGAGGTGCCCAGTCCATCCACCTGTTGATGGACGTCTGAACTTTTCCAGTTTGGGCTGTTGCAGACAAAGACGCTGTGAACATTCATGACCAAACCTCACGCGGACGGGCACTTTCTTTCCTCGGGGCAGAACGTGGAGCTCGGTGTTGGATCAATGTTAGGCTTTTTAAGAGACTGCCACGCTGGTTTGTGAAGTGGCCGCACGGCTGCATGCCCCGGACTGTGAGCCGCGTCCTGGCCGCACTGCAGTCGGCCACCCTGCTACGCGCGTGGGGGCAGCCGGGGGCAGCCGGGGCCACGCTTCATTCGTGCGGACTGAGGGCGTCTTAGCGTCTCTGGGCTGTGCTGAACAGCTCCCCCCGTCTCGTACTGGGCTGCTTTTCTCATCGTTAGGTTCTGAGGGCCCTCTGCAGCTCCGGACTCAGATCCTCATCAAGTGTCTGCTTCGCCACGTCCTCTCCCAGCGGCGGCTTCCCTTTCCCTTCTCTTACCAGCGTCCTGAGGAGAGAGGAGTGAATTCGGGAAGCCTTCCCGCCCTCTGCTCCCTGGGGAGAGCTGGGCACCGCTGGTGTTACTGCTTCGCTGTCTGGCAGAGCCCCACTTCCTCTGTGTTTCTCCACAGATACGAGGCCGCCGGGTGACCTGCTCAGTCTTGAGTGACCGTGGTACTTCGTGTCTTTCCCGGAATTTGTCCGTCTGATTTAAGTTGTTAAATTTATCGGCATAAACCTTGTAGCATCATTCCTCCACTTTCCCTTCGGTTCCTGCAGACTCTGGCGTGACGCCACCCCTCCCCACCGACACCGGGAATGTGCGCGCCTCCCTCCTCCTCGATCACCTGTCCAGGGGACTGTCAACTTTTTATCTTCTCAAAGAGTCACTTCTGGTTTCGTTGGTTTTCTGTTTCCTGTGTCGCTGATTTTCTCTCTGATTCTCATTTTCTCGTGTCTTCTGTTTCCTTTGGGCTCAATTTGCTCTTCTTCTCCTAGTGAAGACGAGGATGAAGACTTCAGTCTCCGGCCTGCGACCGTGCTCTGGCGTCCCTGCCTGCAACCGCGGCTGTCTGTCCCCTGCAGCTCTCTTCCTTTGGCCGCACCTGTTTGGGGGGCCTGCTACGAGGAACACGGACGTTCAGGTTTGCCGCTCCTCCCGGTGGATGGATGCGCGGTCCTGACGAAACTGCCTTGTTTCCCGGCAACACTCTCATTTTGTGTGTTTTCCTGTCCCTCGGCTCTCCCCTGGTCGGCGTCAGGGGGCGTGTCTTTCCCGTCTAACCTGTTTGTGTCTTTATATTTAAAGAGCATTTCTCGTACGCAGCACAGAGTTGGGACCGCCTCTCTGTCCCACCCGGACTCTGCTTCCCCTTGGGTCCTCGGACCGTTCACACTTGGTGCGATGCGTGATGAGGTTCGAGTCCAGCCTCCGGCTGCTGGTTCCCCACGTCCTGCCTGCTGGTGCTGCCCCTGCCCTTCCTCTCCTTCCTCCCTTCTTGGACTGCATGCGGATGAGCAGGGAGATCCAGCACCGGCGGCAGGGGAGGATTCGCACAGGCGAGGACAGCAAGGGCCAGGACGGTGCCAGGGCAGAAGGGGGCCCACAGACCTCGGCCACCGCACCTCCTGGGTGCTCAGAGCTGCCCAGGACTCAACACAGGCTGATTGGAGGCAGGCTCCCTCACGGGAGGAGGAGATGCGCAGGAGATCCCCGTGGGCCTCCGCTCCAGGCTCCTGCAAACATAAGTCCCTCCTGAAGCCCAGGCAGGGGAGTCGTGGGTGCGCACCCTCCCGGGCCCTCTCCCCGCAGGGTAACGAGGTGCTGGATGATGACGTTCACCGTGGCCCCCAGTTGGGGTGGGGGGGCTTCTCCCACGGTGGGGGTGGGGTCGGCTGGCACTGCCTGGACCAGCCGAGGAGCCCAGGTGGCACGTGGCTGCTTCCCCAGCGAGAATCATCACGGTGGTTCCAACGTCTCTCACTGACCTACGAGCTTTGACCTTCACTGTCTGAGTGGTCAGTCTGCTTTCACGGCACTGGACCCATGTCATGGCTCCAATGAAGACCTCACACCTGCACCAGCATTTGCTCAGACACAGCTGACAAGCCCTGCAGCACGTGGTTACCACTTTATAGAACATTTTATTTTGTATTGAAGTGTAGTCAATTTACAATGTTAGTTTCAGTTGTACAGCAAAGCGATTCAGTTACACACATACATACATACACATTTTTTCTTTTCAGTCTTTTCCATTAGGTTATTACAAGAAATTGAATATAGTTTCCTGTGCTCTACAGTAACATGGCTACTACTTTTAAAGTCTACTATCTTTCAGCGAGGTTTGAATAGTAAGTTAGAATGAAAAAGAATCTGAAAAAGAACAAGTGTGTGTATGTGTGTGTAACTGAGTCTCTGTGCTGCACGCCAGAAACCAACACGACATGGCATAGCCACTGCCCTTCAATAAAAAAACCCAGGTTGTCACTGTTTCCTCACTTTGGGCCCCGCTGGTGGCGTCCTCTCCCCTTGAACAGCTCCCTGGTGTGTCTCCCGAGCAGGGAGCAGGGGATGAGCCCCCCACGCTTGTCTGCCTGGAAGATGCCCTCGGGGCGTGGGGCCTCCTCCCTGCTTCTGAGGGGAGCCGTCCTCCCCTCTCTTTGACGTGAGCCGTGGGCGGTGGGGCCGCTCTGCCCGTCCTGGCGCTCGGGCCCTTTCATGTCGGGGTCTCTCTCTGCCCCGTCTTGGAGGCGTCTGCTGCTGCGCCTTCAGACCCTCTAACCTCCCCCTGAAATGTCTAATCTTCTATTAATCTCAGCCAGGAAAACGTTCAACTCAGACAGTGCAGTCTTTTTCTCTGGAAACGTGACTTAGGTCTATTTTTTATGCCTACACGTCTCTGCTTTGGAAAACACAGAGCACCTATTATCGTCCATACTTGCTTGATGTGAGTGTCAGATTTCACCACTTCTGATTTTTTTACTTTTCTCCTTATTATGGACCACATTCTCCTGCTTATTTACGTGCTACTAACATTTGACGTGACAGCTTCCTTCAGTGTAAACCCGGAGGGCGGGCCCAGGACACCAGGGGCAGAGGTCCTGGGGCACAGAGACCCAGTGCCTCACCCCGTGAGCACAGGACGTCAGGGTGGAGACTCGCCTTTCTTCAGGAGGCGTGTGCTTTCCTTGACACTTTGGCTAAAAATACACATTTAAAGGGAAAGCAGTAGAAAACGGTCCTTAAAGGAAAGGAGTGATGGGGACAAGGAGCTGGGAAGCTGACCACCCCTCGGTTGATGCCAGGCCGGGGCCGGTGCCCCAGGTGCGGGCAGGTGGGGGAGGAGAGCACCCCTGACCTTTCTCGTTGAAGGGCGTGTGCCAGGCCAGGAGGTAGTTGTCTGGCTTCAGCTGCAAGCAGCCTTCGACGGTGGCCGGGTCTGCTCGGTGCTCCGGAAGCTTCTCGAGTGCGTCCACGTAGCGTCTCACCATCTCACGGTACAGGTCGTCCAGGCACCAGTAATCTAGGAAGGAGGGACAGCAGGGTCGGGCTGGTGGACAGAGACCGGAGCGGCGGGGACAAGGGCGGCGACAGCCCCGTCCCCCACAAGAGGTGGAAGAGTTCGGCGACTGTCCAGCACAACCCTGCGCCCTAGAGAAGCACGCTCTGGGTTTCATTTAATTGAATTGTAGTTGGTTGTCGTGACGCTTCTAGTTACTCACGTGAGTCTAGAAAAGCCCACGACCCCCATCTGCGGCTGAGGGGTCTATCCCCGCGAGGATGGCCGGGCCCAACGGGGCCCACGTCTGAGGTATGGAAGCTGACCCCCCCCCAACTCTCGCACCCGTGAGACAGCCGAGTTCCCGTTGTCCCAGCGTCCCGCCGCGTCCCCAGCCGTGGGAAGGCGTTTCGGGGACAAGCAAGGTCTCGAGTCCCTTGATGACGGGGCACAGAGGACAGGGCGCCAAGGCACCCTGACCGCCTGCCGTCGGCTGCGCTGTGTCGGTCCCACTCTTTTCCCCAGAGAAGGATCAGGCAGGTTCAGTGACTTGCCCGGGGCCGGAGCTGCTAAGAGGGTTTCCATGGCAAAACCTGAGCTTTTCTGCCATTAAGTTAACCCACAGCCTGCTGGACCGAGGCCACACGTGCTCTGCAATGGGGGTCCAAGGTGCCCGGCCCCGTGGGAGGGCAGAGTGGGGACGGTGCGGGGACAGGGACACTTGCCAGTGCAGCCTGACGGACACCAGCCTCATTCTCTGCTCAGACTGCATTTCAGGCCGTGGGCTGCCCTCTGGAGCCGTCCTGCCCCTCTTCTCCGGGGGCGGAGTCCCGCCCTGGGCAGGTGTGAGGGGAAGTGGGGAGACCATCTTCCTCCTGCTCTCCTGGGCTCAGAGCAGGCTGTGGGGTGCTGTCGGCATGAAAACCCAGGTTGCCTCCCAGCCAGGGTCCCAGCGCGGACAGGACAGGAGGGAGGTTTCACATGCACCAGGCAACAGCTCCCCGTCCAGGCAGGGTCGTGGGGGTGGCCTCGTGCCCCAGAGTCGTGACCCTCCGGAGGCAGAACTGGTGAAGGAGTGGCTCCCGACCTTCTGTCTGTCCACCCCCACACAGTGTTGCCCAAGTTCTGAGTGGGGATGGGAGGGTGTGGTAAGATCTGGGTTGAGGGGCAGTGAGTCCTTCTGGTCTTGTGGAAGCTGACACCAGATGACACTGGGTGACACTGGGTGACCATGGTTGGGAGACATGTCTAGGTCCTCCATTGCCGCCACTGCTGAGACAGGCTGGGACCTGGGACCCACTGCTGTACTGTCCCCTCCAGCAACGACCACACAAGGAAACTACAAGGTGACCACGTGCACGTGTGGCTGGAGGCAAATTATGACACAAAAAGATCAAAACCCAACTGCCACTTCTGAGGCGTGGGGAGCAAGGGCAGGGCCTGAGCATGGCGGGCCCAGGGGGTGCCGGCCCAGCGACCCGCTCTTCCCTCACCCCGTTTAAGGAGCCAGCCCAGGCACCTGTTGCTTGTTCTCGCTCCCTGAGTAAAGCCTCGCCTGGACTCCTGCAGGCCTCTTTCCAGTTCCTGCTGAGTAAGGACACAGGCTGGGACAACGCAGCCCCAGTTGGAGTGAGCAGCCCTGGCCCCTCCCCCCAGGGAGTCATTCTGTTCTGGAGTCGCGTCCCTCTTGAAGGGGAAAAGCTCCTTAAAAGCGAAACGGCAACAGAACTCCCAGTGCTGGATTCAGGCTGGATGTTTCAAAGCCGCAGGGCCCACAGCCTCCCGCTGGAGCTCCACCTGCTGACTCTCCCACCTCACTCCGCTCTCCGCCCGTCTCCCAAGGGACAGACCCGCTCGTGAGACCACCTGTGCGCCTCCCAGCTCACGACGTAAAGAACAGGCTCAAAGCCAACGTCAAGTTACTTTGCAGCAAAAACACCAGCTTTCTCCAGACGCGATTCCTGCGGCCACGGATGGAGAGGCAGCCACGTGGAGTCTGGAGAGGCTCGCCCACCCACGCCCCGCAGCTGGCGGACACGCAGGTGGCACTGCTGGCATCCCTGGCGGTCCCTCACCTGCAGCAGCAGTGACATGGCCACTGCTGGACCAGGACGGAGGAGCTGCTGACCCCCAGACAGACGACGCTGGAGGAAGACAGACAACGGTGTGCCGGCAGCCAGCTTCCCACAATACTACGGTCACGCTTCCCTGTGCCGCCCCCAGTCCTCTCAGAACCTGTACAGGTGTGTCAGTTAGCTCCTGGAGGGAGGCTCAGAGGGAGGACAGCCCCCGGGCAGCTGGGCGTGTGGGGCTCTGGAGCCCCAGGGGACGGTCCCTCTCAGTGGGGAGCCTCTGGTGGATCGTGTGCAGGGTCGGTCACCCGCCTGCCCTGCAGGGTACCAGACACCACTCCCCAGGTCAGCGTCTGCTTTTGTTCAGTGTTTCAGGGACATGCCCCAAAGCAAGACGTCACCCATTGCTCCTTCTAGAGCAGAACTGCGGCTCCCCAGCCCTGCCGCCGGCCTAACACACTGGCTAGAGAGACATCCTTCAACACACCAAGATGCGGCTCCCCGGGAGGAAGTCTGCCTGTCTTTGGAAATCATGAAGAGCTGCCACTGGGCCCCCGGACTATTGGCTGTCCAGTAGTCCCAGGTGTGGGACGGTGCTTCAGATGCAGGTGCGAGAGGTTGGGTTCCAGTCCTGCTCTGAGACGCTCGGCTGTGTGACCCTGGGAAGTTACCCAACCTCTCTGTGCAGCTCCTTCTCCTATTTTCTGCCGTAATAAAGTGGACCTTCAGGGTGACGTGAGGACCAGAAGACGATACCCCCAGGGTTAGGGGAGCACCGGCCACAGTTGGGGCCGTGTCTGAGTCAGCGGTCACCATTACTTACGTGACTCAGACGCCCCTCCACAGGTTGCAACTTGTTATTAACGGGAAAGTTTGGGCTGTTCAAGAACTTAAACAAATTTCAGCTTAGAGTTTTAGTGAGCTCAAGTTTCCGGAGGAGCAGGCCTTCTCACATGCATGATGGTGCCTGTGTCCCTGGTGGCGCCCCTGTGAGAACCCGCCCGACGACACGTCCCCCTTGGCCACCCGGGGTCGGTGGCTTCTGCCAAGAGGACTCGACTGGACCTGTCCTGGGAGAGCGAGTTCCCGCCATGAGCCGTGGGCTGTCTAGGGGTCACCGCACAGACCGACTGGGGTGTAAGAAGTGGGGGACCAGCCCCAGGCACGCACGCAGGCACCCTGTGCACCTGGATGGGACACAGAGGGGCACGAGAACCTCCCGGAAACATGAAACAGGATCATCTGGACTGTGTCACTGTGCAGACTTGAGACGGTTATCTGTGGTGTGCAGCTCCCTTCCCAGCTATTTGGGACCCGGCGGGGCAGGCGCATTCCTGAGCAGTGACAGCAGAGCTAAACCGAGTCCCCAGCACACGTGGACCCGCGGTGAGCGCACAGTGAGATTCACATTCCAGAGACTGCAGAGCTGCCTTGGACTCTCATTTTGCAATGACACGCTGATGACTCTAACAGTCTCTAACAGAGCAGATACCTTCGTATCAGACACCTGCTGTTTCACCAAATTCAGCAAAAACGGACTGTCCCTGAAATCAACCTGCTGCTTTAAGGGCAGTTCAGGGAATGTTGTTTTCTCCCCATCTCAACCCATTTTGTAGCGTTTTCTTGGGGCATATTTATGGGTGAGCAGCGACCTGAGCTAACGCACAGTTTGGTAGATGGCATTTTAGCCGCGACTCATCGGAATTTCTAAGTAATCCCCAAACAACACTGTCTTACTGGGTCCAAATTGCAAACTGGCTTATTATTTTATACATTCACCAAATACATTCAGAGGAAGGGGTCTGACACCTGCAGTGGAAAGTTAACCCTCGTCCCAAACAGCTGCAAAGTGGGAGGTTTGATCAGTTTTAACTCTAGAAACAGAGGCTCAGCCTGTGAACCTTCACAAACCCAATGGAAAGTCTGGTGTAAGAGGCAGCACCTGCAGACAAGCAGCGTGAGATCACGCTGTCCCCAAGGCCACAAAGGGGCACGGCCCTGCACCGCCGGCCTGCTGGGCACACTGGTGTGGGTCAGACCGCACTTCCAACCCTGGCACTGGTAACACCCTCACCCCTGGGGCGAGAGCCCCGCCGTCGCCTGCGAGGGCGCGGGCTGAGCCTTACCTGTGACGAGGGCCTCCGCCGTTGCCATGTGCATGATGGTGTTGTCACTCACCGGCCACTTCTCTGGTGAGAGCACGAGGTGGTCCAGGCCCCCGAATGCCCGCAGCTCCTCCTGGGTCTTGGTGCCTGAGGCGCTGCCCTCCCTGAAGGCACTTCCGTGACCCAGAGTGTCCCCCACACCCCCCAGCAGCATCGCAGCCTGAAACTTCTCCATCTCTGGCGGCCACCCTGCCCACAGCCACCGAGCCGCCCGGCCTCTGCCGCTTCCTGGCAGTGGTGGCCTTCAGCCCTCCCCGCCGACTTCTGTTTTGGTCTTTGTGTCACTGTCGGGAGCCTCCCCGAATGGTCAGACACTCCTTTTCTGTCTCTGCAGGTGGCACCAATGAGAAAGCTGTCTGGACCCTGCAGCTCACAGCACCACGTGGGGGTCAGCCTCCTTCCCTGCCTGCAGGGACACTGACTCTTCAGGAGAGGAGACTGTGGCTCAGCCAGCGTCCGGACGGCTCCAGGTTCCCACACAGAGCAACTGCTTTCAGTGCTGGGTCTGCACGGTGTTCTTGAAGATGCACACATTTCTGCAGTTTATAGCGTAACTCACACTGTCAGACTCAGCTCAGTGCGAACGCCACGCTTGTGTAACTGAGTGAGCCCCTGCCACGGACCAGTCATCACTCTGCCCCTGGAGCTCAGACTTCAGGGAACTGGGATCACACACCACGTGGCCTTCTGCGTCTGGCTTCTTTCACGGAGTGACACAGTGAGACTCACCTGTTACGTGCACAGTTTAATTTTTCGGAAATTAGCTGATTATAGAATGTGTTTATGATGGAAAAAAATAGGCAAGTGTACAGGAAAAAAAGCACAGCCCGCTGCACTGCAAATGGTTACACGTGTTCTCAGAGTCCAACGCCCACCCACGGCTCTCCGCCACAGTTGCTTTGTGTGGTCGCGGGGCACAAAGCCTTGCAGAGGGACCGCCGACCTCGAAGCTTCGCGTAAACACAGAAAGGAGCGCTGGGGCTGGGGGAGGTGGGATGTGTAAACAAGAGACCCTGACTTGAAGCAAGCAGTTAGGGAAGCAGCCCGCCCCTGCTCCCCAGGACCTGGGCGCACGTCAGACACGCACCTGCACGTCAGACACGCACCTGCACGTCAGACACCTGCACGTCAGACACACACCTGCACGTCAGACACCTGCACGTCAGAAATGTATCTGCACGTCAGACACCTGCACGTCAGACACACACCTGCACGTCAGACACACACCTGCACGTCAGACACCTGCACGTCAGACACCTGCACGTCAGAAGCACACCTGATAAAAATAAAGTTTCTCTCAGGACTAACAAGGTACTGAGATGCACTCAAGGAACAGGCATCATTATAACAGTATTTGTTTAAAATGAGGTTCTGGAGCATCGTTCCAGCTGGCAGGATTCTGAGAGATGTGGGAGCAAACAGCCCTTCAAAACTGGCACAGCTGGACCTGGGCTACTGGGACGCGGGCTCCCTCCCTGAAGGCAGCCCCTCAGACAGCCTCACCTAGGAGGAACAGCACCTTTGGCAGAAACAGTTACTGCTGACGGCTGAGATGCCAAGTCAAGCTGGGTCCTTCGGCTAAATCTGAGGCAGCAGAAACCCTGTCGAAGATGCTAGAAGCAACTGCAGACTGTCTGGCCTACGTCAGCGAAGAGCAGAGGGATGAGCTCACTACCTCGTTCATCCAATGTTTACTGAGCCCTGGCGGGTGCTACGAACCCCGCAGCCGGAGCCAGAGAAAGATGTAATGTCCCATTTACACTTCTACTGAGTTACGGGGACACAATGACACGTGTTATGTCACCAACGCAGAAAGAGGTGATGATGTCTGTTCCAGAACTCTCGGCTGGCCGGCTAAGAAGGCACCGGTCCAAATCTGTCGCGTCTGGTTCCTTTGCGTACCTCCGGTATGTGTGCACTTTCCATTTCAGTGCACTCAGTCAGGGAGGTAACTCGCGTCAGCACAGGGAAATTCTAATGTTATGAGATGTGTAACTTCCCACGAGGAAACAGCCACACTTAGCAGACCACGTGACACCTAAAAAGTGGGTGACCACGGCTGTGTATCCTGGGATGAGGCCCCATAACATGGCGGTGGCTCCCCTGACGTGGGACCAAGACCCCGACGTCCAGTAGTGAGCGTCTGAGCAGCAAGAACAGAGCCAGAAGACCACGACACCAGAGAGAGCAACTCTAATGTTCTGACATTCTCGGCAGGCTCTGAGCACACGTGACTCAAATGTAACAGAAGAGACAGAGACCTGTGGGTGTTTGAAGAGCCCGTGTCGATCACAAATGCTCTGGTGTCTACGAGAAACAACTCACACAGCACCTTTTCCCCACTTGACTGTAGATCTCGGGAATAACAGGGTCGCAGACCGCCACCGCTCACACAGGGTCACCCGAGTTCTATGACCTTCTCTGCACAGAACACGACACGTCAGGCTCCGTGAAGCCTCGAAAGGTGCTGTAAAACTGTTGAGGTTTTCATTAAGTCAGCTCTTTTGTATAGAATAAATGCTCCCAGAATCACAGGCTTGCAGGTGGAGGAGGCCTCGGTTTTCCCTTTGGGGATGTGGCCTCGGAGGCCGCACGGAGGTCAGGAGACGTGCCCAGGCCCTGCACCTAGGGGGCCGACCCCCAGACTGAGTCTCAGGCCTCACGCCCCTTCCCCTCCACAGCCTCTGTCCTCTTTGAAACTTTCTGTGCAAAAGGATGAGCGGTGCACACACCGCAGGTTCACACAAACCTCATGTTGCAGGTGATGCTTCCTGCACACTGAGCAAGTCACACATTCGGATGCGGCCCAAGCCACACGTTTTAGGCACACACTGTGTCTACGGGAACCCGGCAGTGAACTTCCTGTCTCCTGGGAAATGACCCCGATTTGTCTGTCTCATAAACTGGGTTGTGGGCCAGCAGCAGGCACACTTGTGACGTGAAGACCTTTCCAACCAAGGGAGGGTCCACGAGGAGCTTCTCAGAGCGCAGGGTGGGCAGCGAGGTGGACGGCTCACCCCCGGCACGGCCCCCCCCTGCTGCTCCCAGCCGCACCGGACGGGCCCCCTGACAGGGCGAACCCGGGAGAAACCGGGTAGTGACGTGGGGCAGACACACCTCCTCCTGCGTGTGACGGGGAGGACCCCGTCTGGGATTTCTTGGGACAGTGACGTGTATCTTAGCTTCCAAAGGTGTGAGCCGCACGGGAGGGTGGGTACTCACGCTATGGAACGTGGAAAGGAGCCAACATGACTTCTGAATCTATAATTTATCACACACAAAAGAAATCTTTTTCATGGAAAAATGCCTTTTTAAACGTAATAAAATATATTTTTAAAAAAGCATCTTCATGAACCTTCTGAGGCAGGTCAAGTCCATCATGAGACGTGAAGCAGACCCGCTGGCTCGTGGGCAGTTAACTACACGAGCCAACTGTGGTGTCGCATAAAATCAGTAAAACGATTCTCAGAGGGACATCTAGAGAAGATTAAAGAGAAAACAGGTCTCAACTCTAGACATCTGGTAATTGAAAAAATATGGACCTCAATCCTGGCACCAAGCGTCAAGCCGCCAGAGCCCACAAGGAGCAGAGCAGATGCGACAAGCCCTGACGGAAGAACTTCTCCCTGGAGAGAAAGAGACCAGAGACGCGGCGCTGAAAGGCGCAGCACGTCCCTGAGAACATGGCCTGGGGCTGAGACCAGGCCTGTAAGCGGTGCTGCTGGCTTTAAAGCAAAAGGGAAACAATTCTTTCGGCACGAGGCAAAAGCAGCAAGTGGCAATAAGGGGAAAAGCAGACCGTCCTCAGACGATCCAAGGGCACCTGAGGGGAGCGCAGTAGCGTGTGTAAGACACAGAAAGAAAATGAGGGCAAAGGCTTCATGTCAGGAAAACCATTCTCCGCCCGCAGGGACTCGGGCACCTCCTTGTGCTCGGGGTCCAGCACGAGCCTCGGGATCTAAGTGACCAGGACGCCAACGTGCGGACCGGTGACAAGACTCACCACCCGCACGACCACACGCCGCGACTGCACCCACGTCCAGAGGGAGACTCGGCCGTGTGCTCAGCGTGGACACAATCTACTCCTTTAATGGGGGAGAATGTACAACCTTTAAAGAGTTCTCAGTATTTATACCGACGGTGGCAGAAAAAAGGACATGCAGTTGTAACAGAAGAGCCGAAGTGGAAAACCCCCAAAGCCCCATAGTCCTGAATCTGAGCCGGGAGCATCAGCACAAGGAGCGGAGGACCCAGCCGACGCTAATGAGCATCTTGCTGCCTGGATCACGGCTCTGGAGCAACATTCTCCACTGACAGAAACTGGGCTCCTGGGAGAAACGGCTGATCCCGGGCCTGGGGCGGGAACGGGCCAACACGCCCGGCCGCGTTGAGGACGGGGAGTGCGGCTGGGGACACAGACGGGCAGCCTAAGCTCCCGGTGTCAGAACTGCAGTCAACTGAACCTTCGTGTACGATTAAACCCAGGAGTTCACACAGCATAAAAGATAAATAAATAAACACGAATCCTTTTTAAAGGATGCTACGAAAACAAGTCGTTATCTTGATGACAGGTGAATCCAGGCAAATGATCGGCACTTACCCTGCCTTTTCTCAATGAACTGGGGCTCCTGGCAGCAAACCCTGGAAGGTGGAAGGATTATTCCAAACAGAAAATGAGACGGAAGTGACAGAATTAGAACGTCACCCTCCACGCTGGGTGACGCCGGCTGAGCAGCGGCCTGGCCAGAGGCGAGGTCTGACCCCGACAGCAAACGCCACCTGCCGTGGTCCTGAAGCCAGAACCGCGCCCCCCAGGTCCCCACATGATGCCCACACAAGTGGTCACCCAACCACTCTGTCTGTTGCATGGTGACGCATCCCACCTGCTACCCCAGGGTGTCACAGCGCTAGAGACAGTTCATACATTTTCCTCAGTCTTCCTAGCACGACTGAAATGGAAGACACCACCGGGGTTGGCAACCTGAGAGCAGGTCTCATGGGAGGGTCTGCAGGGTGGCAGGGGACAAGACCAGGTTCCTGGCACCTGGACCCTCCCCAGTGTCCCGCCCTCGGCGGTCACTGCACCCCTGCGGGTGTGCTGATTCCTGCAGAGACAGCGCCTGCAGGTGGAAGGGAACAGGCTACAACACAACAAATACAAAACAGAACTGGAGC